AAAAAAAAAGCACAAACTTTGGACTAACCCCATATAAGCTCTCCTATGGAGTATCTATGGAGTATCTCCCTTGCTTGCGTACTAGCGCGAGTAATCTTCAAGCAAATATCTAGAACTTGCCATTTCGTAGCTCATCATGTCCAAACTGCTAAACAAAGGAAGCTAAATATTCACTTCTGCAATTGTTTCTATACCTCTTAACAATGCGGGATTGTTAATTGATATCAATTTTTGATTGTTGGCTTTCCCAACGTCATTTCAAATCAATTTTTGATTTATACTCTAATCCAAGAGTTTATTCTTGGGCTGATCCTTAACCGCGTGGCTTTTCAGCGAGAGTATATCGAAAGGAATGAGTAACCACAGGTCTCCGATTGAACCTCACAAGAACGATTTCCCGCTTGAAAATCCAGGATCATCGAAAAAGCGTGCAAACAGAATAAGCACTATAGGGCCGTTTACTCGGAGCGTGTCCTTGATTAAGGTAAACTGATTTAAGGCCCTAGCAAAGAAGAAGAAAAATGAATGATTATCGCGTTATAAGTAGAGCTAAGAGGTGCACAAAAAGTTTTGATATAAGAAAAGCAAAACTCTGAGAAAGAAAAAAGTGCTTGCTAGTCGGAGCGTAGCTCTCCGCCGGAGAGCTAAATCACAGAAAGGTACAACGATCTTTCTTAGAATTTTTCAAAGATTTTTCAAACACTTCTACTCTTTGTAGATGTTCGATTAGAAAAACAGCTTTTATGAATTTTATGAAAATATTTCTAAACGTTAACGCCCTCATTGAAACAAACACATAAGTTTACTGGAACAGTCTCTAAACGGTCATTAAGTGTGTCCGGAATTACTTGAATTGAGAATTGGAAAAGCAAAAATACTTAGGCCACATGCGTGAACATGCGCACTAGGCAGGGGATGGGAGTTTCAACATATTCCAGGCCCCCGCCACGCACTCCATACGATTTCCCCTTTGCTTTTTTCACGAAAACGAATTCCTCCTTGCCTTCCGGAAACCTGCCGCCGAAATCTGCTAATAAATCAATGGGCGTGCGCTAGGGAACTGTTCGAAGCAATCCCATTGGGGATTTCACGACCAACTATGCATTTCTGTTTTCATTTAGGTTCACCTCATCGCTTATACAGTATCGCAAATTTCTCGGATTTTTATCATCCTATATGACGCGAGAATTGTGAAGATGGAGGGTGAGTAAAGACAAACTTGCTCTTCTTACTCACAGTTACATTTCTATTCATGTGACGTCAGTGATTTTTATATTGATTTTAGGAACTCATAAAATTTACAGTTGACATTTAATTAATCTCATGTATAACGTAAAAATCAGTGGTTTTAACATAATAGCTTAGGCTCGTTCGATCAACTGCTCTTTATCCTCTTTTTGATGAGATTCATGACTATATGGACTCTTGTGACAGTTATTCCGGCTGCTATAGCTGAACGAGTGCTTGCTTCACATTATATCAGCGACTATGAAAAAATTAATCGTCCATGGATCTCATATCTGGTAAATGGAAGCTCTTTGGTGCTTGGTGCCGGATATTATTTGATCTTTCAATCATTTTTCACCGGTGAGTTCATACGGGGAATAAGCGCTCGCTAACTTGATAGAAGATGGTTTTATTACTTTCAAGCTGACCGAGACCTCATCATGATTGACCAAACCAAAATTAAAATGAGGAAGCAAAAAAAAAAAAGAAAATATTGCCTACCGTTTAATTTTTTAAAATTACCTATCATGGGACGTAGCAACCTCGAAGAGTTGAAAGAGTTTTTGGTTTGGATTACGATATTAGCTTATTTTCAGGCTTATACGGTATGATATTGACGGTGGTTTTCACCGTGACGATTTTCCTTCTCTCATCACTTGCTATTATGATGGTTTGTCGTCGCGATGCTGCTAAACTTCATGATCTTAAGAATGAAACAGGTTGTTCGACGTTGAACTACACATTGAGTATGAAGTTTCAATTGGAAGAAAATGTTCGAGTATCAAAGGTATATAACATATCAAAATTTTATCAGGTTGCGCAAATGTTAGTTTAAATAAGGTGCCACTCTGAAAGCTTTTTGCTCAAGTTGTCGCATTTCAAATAGAGGAAACCGGATTTAATAGTCCTAATTGTGAGCTAGAACCTTTGTGC